TCACCTGGGAAAGGTTCTCTCACAGAGAAGTATTTGAGCAGAGAGTTGATGACAATGGGAAAAGGAGCCATTCAAGTGCAAGTACAAGGAATATTCAACAATTTCAGAGCAAGTGCCTATTTATGGTAAAATTATGCATGGGCTCCAAAAACTCTATGCACCAACATTAACTTTTCTTGCACTTCCACTGCTCCAAGAACATTTTGAAGGACTCTGTCTGTATGGGGAGAAGAAGCATCCCAGGCAATAGAACAGCAAACAGCCAAACGCCAGAGGTGAGCCTGCCCCTGGGGAAGGACTGCCCTGACTCTGGAAGGAAGCAGGGAACAATGGTAGGACGCAGCAGAGGAGCACATCACGAGCCTTCTGAGCTAGAGCTGAATCAGTCTCTGAGAACAGGTTATAGGTGAAATAAAATGCAATCTAGAAACTCCGATGTGTCTGTCATCTAGAAGCCAAAACCCAAGAACTTCCACTATGCTTGGTTTTATGGAAAACATATTCATTGATGTAGGATCCTCAACTTGGGTCTTATTCACTGGAAAGTCAGTAGTTTATTTATTCTAAAGACAGAGTTACAGAGAGAGAAGGAGAGGGAGCAGGAAACAGGAGAGGGAGGGAGAGAGAGAGTGACTTTTCACCTGCTAGCTCACTCCCCAAATGACCACAACAGCTGGTGCTGGGCCAGGTCGAAGCCGGGAGCCTGTAACCCCATCCAGATCTTCCACGTGGGGGACAGCAGCCCAGGCACTTGGGCCATCCTCTGTTGCTTTTCTAGGTGTGTTAGCAGGGAGCTGGATCAGAAGTGGAGCATGTGGAACTCAGACCAACACGCATCTGGGATGCCAGCACTACAGGCAGAGGCTTAACCAGCTCTGCCACATACTGCCCTCCTCCCTTTCTCAACAGTCCACTCCCACCACTGCTTAGGGGAATAGGCCTAATTAATAATGCATCACACGATCTGCCCCTTGCATGGTCACTGGGGCTCTGTACAGAAACACAGGACAAAGGCAATCTCCATCAGAATATAGTACAATCATGTGTTGCTTAATGATGGGGATATACGCTGAGCAATGCATTATCAGGCATTTCTTCATTTTGCTGTCATCACAGAGGGTAATCACATGAACTGTGGATGGGATAGGCCAACCACATAAAGTGATCTTTTGATGCAGTAAAGAGACGTGGTAACCTACAAGATGTATGAAGCTGCAACAAGCCCAACACAGCATGCTATTTTAAAGATTCCTTTGCAAGTCAAAGGAGTACACTCTAAAACAGTGTATGACATAGTACATAAATCAGTAACATGGTCGCAAATTTTCATTATCAGTATTATGCACTGTAGGGACAGGTGGTTAGCACAGCATATCAGATGTCACTTGAAACTGCGTTTCATTTCTTATAATTGTACCTAGGAAACACATGAAATCTATTCTCTGTGTATTAAAAAACTTAAAAATCAGAAAAAAAAAAGAATAAATAACTAAGTAAAAATGTAAGCCAAGGAAGGAAAAGATGGAGGGAGGGGGAATAAGCAGTGCCTGTATAATGCAATGAATCATTTGAAAAATGCTCTTGGAGAATAAAAGCAAGTCTTTAAAAGAGGATGTCCCTGGGAATGCCCACATCCCATATCACAGTGTCTGGGTTCAAGTCCCATCTCTACTCCTGATTCCAGCTTCTTTTAAATGTGCACCCTTAGAAGCAACGGGTGATGGCTCAACTGGTTGGGTCCCTGCCACCTACATGGGAGAGCCAGACTGAGTTCCCAGCTCTTTCCTTTGACTCGGCCCAGCCTTGATGTTGCACACATTTGAGGAATGAAAGAAAGGAGGAGATAGCTCCCCCTCTCTCAAATAGAATGTTAAAAATTGTATATAATGTACACAATTGTGCTGTACAACTGGCAGTGCAGTAGGTTTAGCTATACTGGCATCATCACACACACACACGAGTAATGTGTTGCATTCCTATGCTACAATGGCTAAGACACCAACAGGTGATCAGAATTGTCGAGCTCCATTATAATCTTGTGAAATCCTGGTACATAATGTGGGACTAGAATTGCTTCAGACATGAGCAAGAAACTCAAGTCAGTACAACACGACACAGGGAACACACCTTACTTGTGTGAGTGTGTGTGTGTGTGTGAGAGAGAGAGAGAGAGAGAGAGGGAGAGGAGAGAGAGAGAGAGAAGAGAGCTGGCAATCACTGGGTCACTCCTCAGTGCCTGCAATAACCAGGGGGCTGATGCCAGGAACTGTAAACTGACACCCTTTGAAGTTCCCTGAGGAGGAAGGCCCAGAGCATGGGTTCTGCCTCAGGACCCAGGACCACATGTTGGAGAAGATGCCCATAAATGTCCTTTCCAGAGAAGAGCTGTTCTGGAAGGCAAGTTGGCAGCAGGGAGTAATTCTCAAACATGTCTGGAACCACTGCTCCCCTAACTTCACTGCTGAGGACTTACTGAAAGGAAATCACAAAACTCATAAACAGAGATGTATTTCAACATTGATCTTAACAGTGAAACCTCAGAAAGTAACTAGAAAGGACAGCAATGTGGGAATAGTTAAAGAAATTACAATGGGGATAAATGATTGAAAAACTATGGCCCCATCAAAAATGACGTTTACAAAGAATCTTTAACAACACAGGAAGACGTTGCTGATGGAATTTTAAACAAATCCCAGGACATGAATCTAAAAGCACAGAGAGATCTCAACTGTTTTATCTCCCAGTTGATGTCTTCATCTCACTTAAAAACTCATTGTAGATACCTAAAAGTTGTAAATAGTGGTTCTTGCTAGATTCTGAACGTTTGGTGAGTTGAGAAGCTCTTCCGTTATTTTATATACCTTGCACATGATCTGTAAAGGAAGTGCAAAGCTTTGATAACCCGAGGGGAAAGCATGCATCCTTTGGAACAAGGCGTGGGTCTCTCTCCCCTGGTGCATCTCTCACGCCGAGTGGACTTTCCTCTGCAGCCAACGCTTTCCCCAGCTCTCAGAAAAAGGCATTTAGAGGCCCTATGATGTGGCTTCTCTGTGGTTCTTCAGGACCTGGCTCATGGATTGCTCTCTGCCTTCACATGGTCAGCTCACCTGCTCACTCAAAGCACTAGCTTGCAGCATGTTCAGAGCTACCAAGATGAGGCAGTGACACAAACCTTCTATTGAAAGTGGTCTTTAATCTCAAAATGGACACTGATGAGACAAGGGTTGCACCTCCAAGTGATGTCCTAAAAGCTAAAGTATATGAAGTGTCAAGCCTGGGTCCATGGCATCAGTATCACCCAGGAGCTACTGAAATGCAAGTTCATGGGCCTCACCCCAGACCTACTGCATGAATCTGCATTTAACAAGCTTCACAGGTGAATCTGCACACATTGAAGTCTGAGAAACAATGGAGGTGGCGGTAAGGCACAGAGGGTTAAGCCTTTGACACCTGCATCCTATATTAGAGTGCCGGTTAGAACGCTGCTGCTCTGCTTCCACTCTAGCTCCCTGCTAATGTGCCTGGGGTGGCAGTGGAGAATGGCCCAAGTCCTTGAGCCCCTTTCATCCATGTGGGAGACACAGATGGAGTTCCAGGCTCCTAGTTTTAGCCTGGCCCAGCCTTGGGTGTTGTGGCGAATTTGGGGAGTGAATCAGCAGATGGAAGACATGTCTTTATCTCTCTCTCTCTCCCTCTCTCTTTCTCTTTAATATCCTATCACTCTGCCCTTCAAATAAATAATAAATCTTTTCTTAAAAAAGCTACAGTTTCAGAAACACTGCTCAGCGAGATAAGTGTGTAACAACCTAACATCCTAACACAAACATTGGGGAGATGCTAAGAGCACACCTCACTTGATGCCAGCTCTGTAATCAAAAAGCTACACGACCTTGAAAAGTTGACCATCTTTGTCTAAGGGAGATAAACTATCCAGCTTTTAAGCTTGTGCATCTGCAAAATGGGAACAATCAGATATCTCCATCCTAGGATTCATATGGATTAAGTTAGGCAGCCTAAAACCCCTAGGATACTCGGTGGAACAGAGTAAGAATTAAATGATTTTTATCATCATGGCAAAGATTACGTATGACAGCTGTAAGGATCAAATGAGCTCATGAGTACACAAGGCTGCAGATGAAGAAGATTCCTGCACAGATATGCAGAGAGATTGTCTTGCAGATGTGCAGAACCATTCTTTACCCAGAAAGCCAACTGTGAAATGACAGTTGGAATAAAGAGTGAAAATACAGGCTTCCAAGAGGATTTGGACTCCGTGAGCCCTCACTCCATGGTATCAGCAAGGGCCGGAGTTCCGTTTCCCTCCTTATTCCACTTCTTCCCTCTCAGAGAGAAGGCAAAGGGATCCTTTGTTAGGAGACTTAGGGGAGGTGTGGTACATCTGCTCTGTCACTCCCCCAGGCATCATTACCAGGCAATCCCTCACCTACAGCAACTGCTGAGTCATTTTTGAAAAGTTTTCCCATTTCCAGATGTTAGGAGGCTCTGCTTTTGTGCCACTGACCTAGGAGGAAGGGAAGTCAGGGCTTTCTACCTGCAGCATCAGCTGTCAAGCAAAGTGACTGACAGCCTTTGATGGAGAAATAGGTAAGAGGAAAGCTTTCAGATGGTTCCCATCACCTTGGCCTTGAACAAATGCAGCAGGAAGATGTCCCAGGGAGACACAACTGAGCTTAAAGGGGAAGAACAGAAGGGGCCCAGGGTGGGGGAAACGTGAAGAGGGTCAGGGAAGGAGCAAGGAAGGAAACCCGTGGGGCAACAGGAACCTACTGTCCCCCTGTGGATTCGGTTCTTGACCATGTGAACAAAACTGCAGTTACGCTGATCCGAATTCTGATGATCACGAAGCAAACTGACTGTGACGTACATGGTCCTTAACTTTCCAAATTCTTAACAACATTCGGTTGTCTATTAGCCCATTTCTCATTGCTATACTGAACCACTGAGGTTGAGGAACCTTACAGAGAACAAGAAGCACTCACGGTTCTGAGGTTCCAGGGGGCGGTGGCAGCACTGGCTTTGCTTCAGGGAGTCTCGTGGCAGATGGCATCACAATGCAGGGATGCTTGGCAGAGGGAGAAACCACATCAGGAGACAGGAAGCCTGAGAGAGAGTCAGAGGTCATGTCAGGCTTTAATGACAACTCATTCTCACAAGGACTCACTCCAGAAAACCAGCATCCCTCAGGCCCTTCCATGTAGCCTCACCTGTTAAAATTCCATCGTACCCTGGGAGCTAAGCTCCTAACACATGAACACTTGGGGGAAAGCACAATCAAACCCGGGCTGACTGCTCTTCTGGTACATTCCCTAGACAGGGCCTGCTGTGGTCTCATTTAATGCAGCACACAACACAGGCTTTAAATGTACATCTGGGGGCCACGGTTGTGGCATAGCGGGGTAAGCTGCCACCTACGGCCACAGCATCCCATGTGGGTGCCAGCTCAAGCTTTGCTGCTCCACTTCCAACCCAGCTCCCTGCTAATGCACGTGGGAAAGCAGTGGAAGATGGCCCAAGTGCTCGGGCCCCTGCACCCACGGGGAAGACCTGAATGGCATCCAGGATCCTGCCTTTGGCCTGGCCCAGCCTTGGGCCTTGGCAGCCATTTGGGGGATGAGCCAGCAAATGCAAGATTCTTTCTAACTCTGCCTTTCAAATAAATAATAATAAAAATCTTTTTAAAAGCAAACCAAAATAACAATAAGCGATGCAGATAGAATGTGGCTCTCAAAAGCCTAAAATATTTTATAACTGCTTCCTGCCTGATCTTCCTCTGACATGGAACCTACTCTTCATAGCTCCCTCTCCGCTTTGTCCTGGCTGCCCTCATATCCCTTCAACTGATCTTCCAGTGGACTTTTTTTCATCTGGCCTTTGCTGAACTGGCCTGGAGCCTCCTAGAGTTTCATTATCTACTCTCTTCCAGAGGTCAGACACTCCAGGTCAGGAAAGGAAAATGAATGTGGGAACAGGTCAGAGGTCAATAGGGGTTGGTATGCAGCTTGGAAAACTGAGACTAGACGTTCTGCTAAAAATAGCTCAGGTTTCTTTTTTCTGGAGCCATGTTCTGGGCCAGATTTATTCATCCCCAAAGTCTAGCCTTGTCCCTTCAAATGTCCAACCCCAGTGCCTGTGTCTCAAAAGGAAGCGAGCTTCGGTTTCTATGCAGGTCCTCAGGACCCCACGGGGCCTGCAGGTTGCACAGGAACAAGGCCACAGCTGTTAGATTTGTCTCCGTTTTCTTTGGCCATTGGGCTGCACTGGATGAGGCCTCATCCCAGTTTCCTCTTCATCTCAGTTGGGCCTCCTGATCATGGTGGCAATCAAGGAGAATCTAGTCCCCGAGTCACACTGTGAGCCATGGATGGCAGATGCCTTGGGGTTCTGCACTGCCCCCTCTGGCCTGTCTCTCAGGCCAGCTACCGGGGTTGGCTTCCTGCAAGCTCGGCCTCACCTTGCAGAGCAGTGCTGTCCTTCACACAGGAGCCAGCACCTCTCAGCTCTGCTGCTCCGCCAGGGCCGTGCTGCATATCACAGTTCCCTGCTGCTCAGGCCCTGTGTGCTCAGCGCATGTGGGCACAGACAGAGGCACAGGGAAAGGCGCACTTTCCACCTCCGTCTCCTGATTCGTTTCCAGGTGTCACTCAGTCATACTTGAGACTCTCCTTGGCCCCTGGAATATCAAGTCTCAGAAGCTTGTGCTTTTACCTTCCTTTCTTCTTGGTCCACCTGGCTGATTCCAAGTCACTTCTCACACAATTCCCATTCCAAAGCCTCTCCATTCTCGCACCTCCTTCTGCCATTCATGTTCGGTTCTGTCTTTGTGTATTCTTCCCTAGACTTTGCCAACAGCAATGCACTTTCTATTTTCTTCTCTTATAATCAATAATTTCTCATTTTCTCACACCCTATTAGAAGGTTTATAAGGGACAGAAAGCTTGCCAATCACCTCTGTATTTGCATTCCTAGTGTGACACAAACAGCGAACACAACATTTGCTGAATGACTGAATGAAGGTACGAGTGGTTTGCAATTATGCTGAAATCCTGCTGTCACCAAATATATCATTTTGCATTCAAATATTAAAATTAGTAAATACTTTCTGAGAATTTATTTGCCACATAGAAATCATTCAATAAATGCTGAACCCTTATATAAACTTCAAAAAAGATAAATAATGGCACCAAGGGTGAAGCCACGGCTTGCGATGTCACATCCCATATTGGAGTTCTGGTTCCAACCTGGCTGGCCTGCTTCTGATCTAGCTCCCCGCTAATGTGCCTGGAAAAGCTGTGAAGATGTCCCAAGTACTTCAGTCCCTGCCACCCACGTGAAAGACCCAGGCGGAGTTCCTCACCCCTGGTTTCGGCCTGGCTCAAACCTGGTGGCTGTGGCCATTTGGGGAGTTAATCAGACCCCTTTTTTCTGTCTCTCCTATCTCTGTCACACTGAATTTCAAATAAACAAATAAATAAAATATCTTTTTTAAAGCTACCCAAAGAAATCCCTCAAGAGAGTGAGGGAAATGAATACAAATGCAACAAACCTGACTGTAAGGGTTTTAATTATTTAAAAAGTCAGAGAGTGCTAAGTACGTGACTGATGGTTTCATGGAACCCATGGGGTTGTGGGGGAAAGACTGGAGTTGCCTAGAGACCAACTGTATTAATTTCAGGCATACTTATGGTGTGCCTGGTTAATGTCAGGTGAAGTATGTGATAAGACTGAGCTTAAATGATGAATATCTCAGTATTCATCAGGCAGTAATTATTTTGAAATCTATTCATTTGAATAGATTTTACAACTTGTGATCTCCTAAAGCTAAAATCTGAGTTCAGGGTAGTAGGAAATTCTAGCAATCAACGGTACCCAGTTCCATCTTGGTCTTGGGGTGAACACAGGCTGCTTAAGTCTGACTTCTCTCTGCTTCATCTGAACCTTAAGTCAGACCTCTAAGGATAATCCTGATAATTAACTAGTAGGACCAATACCAATTCTGTCTGTGAATATAGAAGGAACAGGGTTAAAGCACCTAAGAACTTTTTAATCCAAATCATGGATTTGTTACTACCTAGTCTGAGCCCTCAAATCATGTTTACAGAGGCGGATCTGCTCGTTTTCTATTTGTGATTTGGGGGAACTAGGCAGGAAGATTATGGAGAAATATGTGAGTGGGGCTTTCTGCCAGCCCTGCACTGTAACTCCATCCCTTCCCTGTCAATCTTGTACCCCACTTTCTCAGGATGCACCTGTGTCCCATCCAGAACCAGGAAGAAGACACTATGATGACCAGGTGGAAGTTAACCTACATGTGGAGGTGCCAGCGAACTCTCAGAGAGCCTCACTCAAGCTAAACTCCACCAGCCCGATCTCGGGAAAGACACTGATACTGAGAGGGCTGCTGTTAGGCCTTTGACCGTGCCCAGTGTCCTCTCTGAACTCCTCCCTGCCCTCTCTCCTCATAGGCAGCTCTCTGCGTGACAGGTATCTGTGTGGAGTAACCACACTCACCTGTGAATGCACGCACTCTCTCTGTTAAAGGAATCCTGCTCTCACTGGGGCACTGTATATATGGCTCTTTATGACACTTGAGTCCTTATCTCTGTAGGGTCAAGAAACTGGAATAAGATTAAGAGACCTAGGCCTGTAACATCTTCATCACCTGTCACCTTGGGCTATGTCTGCAGAGGCAGAATGTGTAAGGGGGAAGTCATAGGCTTGGGAGCCCAATGGAGTTGGACCTTCATTTGCGTGCTTAGCAAACTTGAATAAATTGCCTTTCCTTTTTGGAAGCCAGGTTTCTTTACTGACATACAGAGGGAAAACTGCTGCTGCCACAGAATTGCAAGAGAAAACACAGAGTGGCTTGGATGGGGCCTTAGCAATGGGCCTGCCCAGTCACACCTTTTCCCGTCAACAGAATCAAGATTCCTGTGATTGGGATCCTTTACACGGACTGCTGAAGTTCCTGGCATTTCTCCTCCCTTCTTACTCCTCTGGCCAAAGAGTGGGAGAATTAATGACACAGCAATGTGGAGCCAAGAATCCAAGAATGAGAATCCCTTGTCTCTTCCTCGTACTTCCCAGGTGCTCAGAGCTACTACAGTTACTTGTGTGAGCTAAATGTGGTTTGAATAAGAGGCTGGGTGTCCTGCAGAGACCTGGAGATTCTGGAATTTTCCCTTTGGGTTATATAAAATGAGATTTTTATAATGGATGTATAAGTGTCCATTTGTTATTACAATCTTACACTTTATCTTCATTTCTGATTGCTGTTTAATCAGCAATAGCTTGGAACAACTGAACTTTTAGTTTCGTCCTCTGTTAAGCAAGTAATGATGTGTAAACAAACACTTAAGTAAGTGCTACTTCAAGGGACCTTTTTTCCCCTTTGTAATGTTAAGAATCCTTATCTGGGTAAATGAGTCCACCCTCTAATTTGCCAGTAGGATATTTCTGGACTCCATTTAGCTATTCTGTTTCAAATTTAATTACACATGAAGGTAAATGGTTTAGACTGGGCCAGACCAAAGCCAGGAGTCTGGAATAGTATCTGGGTCTCCTACAGGGGTGCAGTGGCCCAAGGACTTGGGACGTCTTCCACTCTATCCCAGCATATTAACAGGAAACTAGGGGCCAGTGCCGTGGCCCAGTAGATTACTCCTCCACCTCTGGCGCCAGCATCCCATATGGGCACCAGTTCTAGTCCCGGCTGCTCCTCTTCCAAACCAGCTCTCTGCGATGGCCTGGGAAAGCAGTAGAAGATGGCCCAAGTGCTTGGGCCCCTGCACCCACGTGGGAGACCGGGAAGAAGCTCCTGGCTTCAGATGGGCGCAGCTCCGGCGGTTGCGACCATTTGGGGAGTGAACCCGCGGATATCTCTCCCTCTCACTGTAACTCTACCTCTCAAATAAATACAATAAATTAACAAAAAAGAAAGAGGAAACCAGATGGGAAACAGAGCATCCAGGACTTGAACTGGCATCATATATGATGCCAGCATTGCAGGCAATGGCTTAATACACCATACCACAACACCAGCCCCAGAAGTTTCTTAATTTAAACTGCTTATTTCTTTATATAGTTATTTATAAATTTATCTT